CCCCCCCCCCGGCGGCCCGTTCGCACACTGACCAGAGGTGGGGAGGTGTGGGGGGCACGCCCCAGGGCTCCGGGGTGAGGGCAGGCGCGGGGTCCCCGAGGCCCCAACCAGGCCTAGGGAGGTCAGGCCCCGTTCACGTTGCCCTGGCCACGTGGGGACAAGCCACGGAAACTGAGGCAGGGGGCGGTCCTCCGCCTCAGCTGACACGCCCAGCGCACGTGCGCCTCGCCCCCGCCCCCATCGAGCGGATGAGGCCACTGAGGCTGGCGGCAGCGCGGTGACCTCCGGGCCAGCCCCGAGGCCCCCCGGGAGTGGCCGCCGGCCCCACCTCCCCAGCGGGGGCTCCGCGGCACCCCTCCCGCCCTCACGCCACCCGCCTCACCTGGCTCGGGGCCGCGCCCGCGCCCGCGCTCCCACACTCTCAGGGTCCGCGCTCGCCGCCAGGACCGGCCGGGCGCACGCGCACGCGCACACCTGGGCTCAGCGCGCTGGCCCCGCCCACGCCCCGCCCACTTCCCCCTTAGGATCCAAGCTCCCTGCTCTTTCACTTCCCGTTTCTCGGGGGAGAAACATGGGCGCAGGCGCGGACCAGCGAGGGGGCGGGGCCCAGAGCTGCAAGGGGCGGGCCTCGGAGGGGAGGGGAGAGGGCGGGGCCTGAGGGTGTTGCCTGAGCTGCCCTCCACGTGCAGGGGGCCGCGGCCATCCCCAGGGTCTGAAGGCCGAAGAAGGGCGACGACACCCAGGACCCCCTGCCCCCACCGCCTTGTATTTATAATGTGTGTATCTCTACAGCATCTATCTCACGTACGTCCCTCTGTGTGCCGCCTCCCCTGGGCAGACTGTGCGCTCCTCGAGGCCAGGGAGCGCAGCGGGTGAGACGGCTGGACCTGGGCGCCGGAACACCCGAGTTTGGCCGTGTGACCCTGGGCAGATCACCTACCTCCTAGGGCTGTCCTGAGGGTCAAGCGAGGTGGCCCGTGTAAGGCTCTTTGCAAACCTTAAAAGCTGTGAGTTGTAAACGCCAGTTATTCCTGTGATCTATGTTTGTGTACCCCCAGTCCTTATCGCAGTGACTGGCTCACGCCAGGGGGCACAGAGGCAGCTTCAGGCTTGATCTCAGGATCGACTTCCAGACCTGGTTAGGGTTGCCCCAAAGTGGTCGGGAGGGACGAGGCGGGAGGAGAACCACTCGGCAGCTTTGGTTCAGGTGGGGCTATGAGGCATCTGAGGGCCATGTCACCGCAGGGGCCCAGAAGGTAGAGTGCGGTGCCTGCACACCCAGCAGGTGCCCAGTTGGCTCACGGGTGGCTCTCTCCCGTCCTTAATTCACAGTGAATTGGCCCACTGCGCCAAACTCCAGCTCAGAACTGGAACGTGGCCTCGTGGCTGGCTGACTCAGGAATTCTGGGATAATAACCCCTGGCAGAGCCAGGATCAGAATCCAGGCCGGCCCTGCGCTGTGGCATGGTGGGGGACGGCAGCATGTCCGGGAGGGAGGAATGCTCTCACCCACAGAACCACAGCCAGGCCTCTGGATGTCCTGGCCTCCTAAAGAGCCTCCCACTAGAGACGTCCCCAAGTCTAGACTGGGTCATCACCTTGGTACACATTTCTACTGGCTTTATGCCTTACAAAGTCCTGCCCCCACAACAGTCCTGGGGGGTAGAGAGTGAAGGATCGACCCCATATCAGAGAGGGAGAAACAGAGGTTGGGAGGGCCAAGGTGACCGGCTCAGGGTCACCCTCAGAGGTGGGAAACGTCAGAGTGGGATGGCCCTCTGCTTAACCCAGCGTGGACTCTTTGGGCAGCCCCAGGGCTCCTGCAGTAGCTTGAGACTGGGGGCTGGCAGAGCTCTGATTTCATGCCCACTCTGCCCACACTCACAGATTCAGTAGGTGGCTGACCACGCTCTCACAGGAACTTGGGGGCTTCCTAGGGGTCAAAGATGCAGAGCTGGAAAGCACCTGGGGGATCATGTGTTTAGCCAATCAGGCAATTATTAAGCTCCTACTGTGTCCCACCCAGGCAGTGGGCTAGCCCAACCCCCTTATCTTAAAATCGAGGAGACTGAGGTCTAGGGAAGTTAGGTGAGGTAGTGGGAGGCTGAGGCGGGACAGCCGGCTTGTAATTAGATTTAGCTACAAGTAATCACATTTGGAGTTAGAGTGCCACCTGCTGTATAGTGTGGACTCGGGAATTCTGATCCATCTTCAAGCGCGCGCACGTGTGTGTGTGTGTGTGTGTGTGTGTCTGTGTGTGTGTGTGTGTGTGAGTGTGAGTGAAGGGAGAGCTGAACAGAAGAAACAATAACAATCATCCTCATGTGCATGCGGTTCACGGGGCTCACAGTACCACGTGCACTGCCAGCTCAGACAGGCCTCTGGGTCACAGAATCACTCTCTGCTGGAAGGGACCCCTGAGGTCAAGTCCAACTGATACCTGGGCAGAATTCCCCGTTATGATAGCCATGCCCCACCCCCACCTAATGGTCACTCAGCCTCCCCCTGAAGACCTCCAGGGAAGGGGAACTCACCCCCTCTGTTAGGAGGCTCTTCCTGCCACGAAGCCTAAATCTGCCTTTCTGTTCCTTCCATCCATTCATTGTATTTTGGCTGAGTGCAAAGAGCTGTAGCTCTGGACTCAGGAAGACCTGAGTTCGAATCCTGCTTTCACCTATTCGCCAGGTGTCACACACCTGGGCAAGTCACTGTGCCTCAGCTTCCTTATCTGCAAAATGGGCACAACAGAAGCATCTATCTCACAGGGTCTTTGGGAGGCCCAAATCTGATCAGAGTGCTTTTAAACCTTCGAGTGCTATGTAATTGTCAGAGATACCTAAGCATTTCCTCCCCAAAGTCGCTTTTCCTCCTGGTTTTCCCACAGCGTAGGCTCTGGCCCCCCCTTCCCGGATCCCTCCCAGGACGTCCTTCCTGAAAGGGGCCGCCCAGATCTGAGCAGTCGTCGAGGACATCCAGACCATCATCGCCCGCCACATTCCGCGTCTCGCAGCCTTGACTCAGGTCAGCCATCTAGCCCAGTCCGGTACCCCCAGTGGTTAGCTCAGTGCCTGGCACATGACCCACAAGGCCTGGCTGACTGAGGACACTGGCCCCAGGAGGGGAGGCGTTGTGCCTAGGGTCAGAGGTCGTAACCTGGAGCCAGAATTAGACTGGCCTCCCCACTTCAAATCTGGGGCTTTTCCCACTAAAAGCAAAGGAAAAAGCAGGAGAGAAAATAAGGTTGGAGCCGGGAGTGAAGGCCGCGGGGCTGACTAGGCCTGCAGAGCAGGAATTCGGTCATTTCCCCTGGCCTCCACAGGAAATGGGAACAAAGACCAGGAAGTGACCAGTTCACTCAGACTAGAGCCTTTCATCCGCTTTATGGGACAACCTCGTCCACAGAATCACAGAATGGTTCATTCAGAAGGGATCTAGTCTAATCTCCCTTTACAAGTGGGAAAACTGAGGTGCAAGGCAGGGTGTGTGTGTGTCCAGTCAGTGAACCAGGCAGGGTCCCAGACCCGGGATGAGAAGCTGGGTCTCCTGCCAGCCAGTCCAGTGGGCAGCCCAGCACAGCAGGCAGTGACCCCCAGGGGGTGGGACGGGAGGTGACTCACCCAAGGTCAGAGCACACAGCAGAAGTGGAACCAGAAAAGGGCCTGTTCTTTCCATCACATTCCGCTGCCTTGCTCTCCCAGGCCCTGTGGGCCTGTGTGGGCTGTTTCTATTCCCGGGGGTGGTTTGGGACTCGTGTAGGCTTAGGGACAACTTAGCTCGTCAGGATCTAAAGCTGGAAGAATTCTCAGAACGTTGCAGTCTGAGAGACCAGAGGGGGCGGTCCCCTGTCCCTCCTTCCCCCACCGCGCACAGCCAGCAAAAGGACAACATCTCTGCGCCCTAGGGCCAGAAGGATCCAGGGACCCAGCCTGGCCAGGCCACACCTGCCGGCTGCCTGAGGATGCTGCGGGGGGATGGATGGGGAAGGGGAGAACGGGGAGGCAAAATCAACGCCAAACGAAGTCTCTGCCCTCGCTCCCCTGCCTGCCCACGCTGCACAGAGGGTATCACCAATCAGGGCTTTTGTTCAGCAGAGAAAACATGTGGCCCGTCCTGCAGGGCCTCTGCTGGGCTCCAGGCTCGTGGGGTGGGAGCAGCCCATGCACTCAGGGGGCTCTGGAGGACTGGGCCTCCCTGGCAACCCTGGGCGGCCTTATCCTCACTTTGCAGAGGAGGAAACTGAGGCCCCCAGAGGCAGTGACCCAGTTAGCCTCCTCTCCCCCACAGCCCAGGCCCAGCTCTCCCAGATGGCCGGCCGCTCACCTCTCCTCTCACCTCCTCCCCAGCCCCTCTGCTTTCCCAGGCCCCTTTATGTGTGGTCTTCCCCCATCAGAATGGAAGCCCCTTGAGGGCAGGGCCAGCTTTCTTTTTGCTCGGCACAGTGCCTGGCACACAGCAAGCACTTAATAAATGCTTCATCTCTATCCAGTACCTGTCTCCTCCTCCTGCCTCCATCTACATGCCAAAGTGCTTCAGGCTCATGGCCCTGCTGGGGGTGGGACAGGCCTGGGTGACCCCACCCACCTTCTCTCTGTCTCCCCACTCCCCGGAGCGGAGCAGATCAGCAATGCTCCGGGACCCCAACCCTCAGCCCTGGCCCTGCATGTCCCAGGACACCTTGTGTCGTATGAAATACCCACAGATGGCTCCTGCCCTCTCTGGAGGGCTCCACAGGCCAAGGGCAGTCCGGCGCAGGCTGGGCCCAAGGTCCCCCTTCAATGCCTCGTTAAAGTGTGTCCTGGCCCAGGCTTGGAGGCCCCTGGAGGATCAGCCCAGCCAAGAAAGGCTCTGCCTCAGAAACCTGGCCAACGTGTGTGGCCACAGCAGCCCCTGCGGCCCGGGCCCGTCCGTCGCCTGGGACGGAGGAAGTTGCACGGAGGGGCAGAGGAGCACAGGCTCCTCGGGCTGGCCCGGCCCGGCCCAGGGGACCAAACAGCAACGAAGACGCTGAAACAAAGCTTTAATGGCCGCGGGGCTCCCCAGGCTTTACGAGGCATCCGTGGCCTCATACAAAGTAGGCGGCTAGGGCTGCCATCTTGTCCTTGGGCCGCCGGGGGTTGAGTCTCCCTGTGGGGCGCCGGCCCCTGGCCCGCCCTCGGCCCTGCCTCTTCCCCGGCCCGCTGCGGTGCATGGGGTGGCACGGGGCCGCGTGCTTCAGCTCCACCAGCTCCTGGAAGACCGGGTCGCAGAAGACACAGCCCGTGTGCTGGGTCTCATCACCCGGCAGCGGCGACTTGGCCTTGTTGAAGTCGACGTCCACCAGGGCGGCCTCACAGGCCTCGCAGGTGTCCGCCGAGACGCGCACTCGGTGGGCGTTCTCAAAGAAGTGGACCACCACGCTGCACTTGTTGCAGGCCATCTTCCACTTGGGGCCCGAAGTGGGGTCCAGCACCAGCACGCCGCTCTCACACTCCACGCACTGGCCGATGCCCAGCATGCTGAGCGAGTGCTGGCAGGAGGGGTGCGTGCACTCGTTGCAGCCCATGCCTGCAGCAGGAGAGAAGCAGGAGAGGAGGAGGCCGTGAGAGGAGGAGGAGGCCGTGAGAGGAGGAGGAGGAGGCCGTGAGAGGAGGAGGCAGAGAGAGGAGGAGGCAGAGAGAGGAGGAGGCCA